TTCTGACATGGGGCAGGGGTTGGGGGTGTGAGGTGCAGGCTCTGGCCAGGAGGCGCTTACCACAGGTGGCTCCCGGCCGGCAGCGCAGCAGGCTCAGGCAGGCTGCCTGCATGCCGTGGCCCCATGCTGCTCCCGGAAGCAGCTGGCTGCTAGCCCATCCCTGTGGCTCCTGAGGGGGAGGGGGGACAGTGTCTCCATGCGCTGCCCGCGCCCACAAGCGCCGCCCCTGGGGACAGGGGACTTTTAGTGGCCCAGTGTTGGAGATCGCTGCCTGTGCATAGGCGCCGACTCCATGGGTGCTCCAGGGCTGGGAAAAAATCCACGGGGAAAAATTAGTGGGTGCTCTGCACCAACCGGCAGCCAAGCACCCCACCCCACCTCACCTCACCTCCGCCTCCTTCCCTGAGCGCGCCATGTGCCCACTCCTCCGCCTACCTCCCAGCGCTTGCTGCCACAAACCAGCTGTTTCGCAGCATAACAAGCTCTGGGAGGGAGGGGGAGGAGTGGGAACACAGCACACTCAGGCGAAGAGGCGTGGCTGGGGCAGGGATTTGGGGAAGGAGTCAAATAGGGGCAGGGAGGGGGCGGAGTTGGGGCAGGGACTTTGGGGAAGGGGCTGGAATGGGGGCAGGGCTGGGGGCAAAGGTGGGGTCAAGCACCCACCAGCACCAGCAGAAGTCAGCACCTATGTGCCTGTGATTTATTTTTGCAGGGCCCTGGGCTGCAGCCCCTAAAGCCCCTGCCTTAATCCAGCTTTGATAAGGGAGCAGAGTTGAACTGCCCAGACATCTGTTGGAAAAGTAATACGGCCAAACACAAAACATCCAGCAAATTCCTGGAGTCTTTTGGGGACAGCGTTTTGTTTCAGAAGATGGCAGAAGTAAAGAGGGGGGCAACTGTTTTAGAATTGATTCTGACTACGAGGGATCTGACCGTGGAAGGCAGGTTGCATAAATGTCACCAATATATGATAGATTTCACAATGTGAGGAAAGGAAGGAATGTGAGCAGCAGAATAAAGATGGTGGTGGACATTAAAAAAAAAAAGCAGATTTTAAGAAAGTCAGAGAACTGGTAGGGAAGAAAATTAAATTAAAGGGAAAAAATTGCTTAGGACAGCCAGCAGTTTCTCAGAGTTAGTATTAAAGAGGTAACAGCAAACTTTCCTGATGTGAAGGAAAGAGAGGAAAAATAGAGGCTAATCTGGCTCCATTAGGAGCTCTTTAATGACCTGAAAATAAAAAGGAATCCTACAAACAGTGGAAACAAATTGCTAAGCAGGAGTGTAAAAGTGTAGCACAAGCATGTAGGGAGAAAATCAGAAAGATTAAAGCACAAAAGCAAGGCACATAAAAGGCCAAAAGATAAGGGTCGTATAAATACGTTCAGAGCAAGAGAAAGGTGAAGGAAAACATAGGTCCACCAGTGAACAGAGAAGGAGAGCTAATGACAGATGACAACAAGACTGAACTGTTTAATGCCTTTCACCTTCAGTCTGCACTAAAAAGCTTAATTGTGACCAGACACTTGACACAATTATTACTAACAATGTGAGGGAAAGAACAGAAACCACAATCACATAAAAAAAAAGGCAAAACATGACAGCTGATAGCAGTGTTCAGAAATTAAAGGGAAATCTGAGGAATGTTGGATCAGTTTTAACAATTAGAGAGGAAAGTGGAAAAATGTGAGGGATTTTATATCAATACTCAGTTATAGGCAAAGAGGCAAAATTTGAGTGAATTTCAAAAAGAGAGAGAGAGAAGGGGCAACCTTTGCCAGGGTTTGCTATCAATCTTCAAGAATTTGAGACAAGGGCAAATCTGAGGAGATATTATTTTATAATTAGAGACTCAGGGAAGAATCTCAGGGCATATTAAATTAGGCTATGTCTACCCCAGTGGGTCTCAACCAGGAGTACACTTACTCCTGGGGGTACACAGGGGTCTTCCGGGGGGTCCATCAACTCATCTAGATATTTGCCTAGTTTTACTACAGGCTACATAAAAAGCACTATTAAAGTCAGTGCAAACTAAAATTTCATACAATGACTTGTTTATACGGCTCTATAGACTGAAATGTAAGTACAATATTTATATTCCAATTGATTTATTTTATACTTATATGGGAAAAATTAGAAAACAAGCAATCTTTCCAGTAACAGTGTGCTATGACACATTTGTATTTTTATATCTGATTTTGGAAGCAAGCTGTTTTCAAGAGAGGTGTAACGTGGAGGTATGCACAACAAGTCAGCCTCCTGAAAGGGGTACAGTAGTGTGGAAAGGTTGAGAGCCACTTGTCTACACTAGTAACCTTACAGCACCACAGCTCTCCTGCGGGCATAATTAAACCACCCCTAATGAGCAGCGGTAGCTATGTGGGCAAGAAAGTGTCTCCCACTGACATAGTGCTGTGCACCCCTGTGCTTCTGTGGGTGTAATTTATGTCAGTCAAGGGATATGTGTTTTTTTTCACACCCAAGCAACAAAAGTTTTACTGACAAAAGACAGTCTTGGTAACAGATAACTAGAGAGAAAGTGGGACAAAATTTTAGGATATTCAATGTCAATCTTTGAAAAATTGGGGAGAAAATGGAAATATTTGATACTAGGAGAGAAAACTGCCAAAATCTGAAGGGATTTTATGTTTATATTAAGTGGGAAAAGTTTGAAAGGATGGTATGTTCAGCATACAGCAATCGAGAAGCAGGCAGCCTTTTGGGAAGCGGCTTTCAGATGGCCAAATGGGTGGGGAACCCCCCACTCCCCGCCAATCTGAGGTGATTTTAAACTGACATAGGAGAAGGAGAGAGAAAAATTGAGACAAAATCTGAGCCTAGATAAAGAGTGGATAATCTGAGAGAAAAGCGGGGGAGGGGGCGGGGGGGGAGGGATCGACTTAGATTTTATATCCCTATGTGACAGTTGGGGAGAGAATTTTGTCAAGAGTTGAGAGAAGTGGCAAAATCAGAGAAGATGTCCTTAAACACCCCCCTCCCCAGATCAGCTGCTTTCCTTCCCCTTCAATCTCTTGCCTGCACAGAGTTCACACCGTCTGTCTTTCCCCTCCCTGCAACTCTG